AAAGGTATTTACCTATATTTCCCTAATAAAACTGAACTGAACTGAACTGAAGACAAAAATGCGTAAACAACACACCGTTACTCGCACGCTCCCTAACGGACGTTTTGTTCGGCCACACAAACTAACAGTCACCTCACGGCAACCTAGCCTGTGTACCGAATAAATTGCTCCTAAGAGCAGTTGATTGATTTCTTCTATTAGACGGAACAACCATAGTGTATGTAGGTATAGTAGATCTCACATCCTTGACCGCCACATTGCACATTTTCTGTTGCATTGGAAGTAAGCTGTGATTGCTCTTACGTTCTTTTAGCAATTAGCAGTTGCCCAGGCCTCCTCAATGTCTGGCAGCGGTTCCGCCAACTTCGCCGCCATCACGGATGAGTCAGCCGGTGACCTTGAAAACGCAAATCAAAATCAGAGTATTTTGAAGCGCGCGTCACACTTACTGAGCAGCACTTTCAACTGTATTGGGAGACGTGGAAAACCGGAGAACGGTCAGGAGCCAGCGTCTAAGAACGAAGAGCGAACAGCAGTTGAGAATGTGCCGCTAACTATGGTGTCCAGTTCGGTGGAGTCTTATGACGGCGTCTGCTTGAATGATTCGGAAATGGCAAGAAAGGTAGGCGACTCAATGTTACCCTTCGGCACGGAGCCCTGCAACAACATGATAGAGGTGAGATTCTCAATATCCCTTATGAATATTAGGCTGATTATTGTTATTATTGTAGACAACAGTCGATCGCAAGTGAGGGTCTGTACGGATTAGTCTACCAGAATTCTGTCGATATAGCTGCCTAGATCAGTTTACCTGGATTAGTTTACTTCGTGTCCTTCTTACTGGAAATCAGATCTAAGAACTGCGATTAGACAAAAGAAAGTGTCCTGGGATGGAAGAGGAGTTAAAAAATATAAGGTGGAAGGAGCACAAACATTTCGTATTTTGCACTACCTCGAGGCAGCCTATATAAGACGCTCTAAACCGCACCTATGTAAACAGTTGGAGCATGTGGTTAACCTAGCCTTGCCTTGGTAACAACCGGCTCCCAGATCTACACAGTCCCCTGCTCTTAAAAAATATAAATACTTCACTTAAAACCAAAGTCTTAAAGCTTACAAGGGACAGACTAATGTCAGTTAACGCGGAGAAAAAGATGGAGAGTTAGAGAAAGCAAAAAGGACATAGTTTCTTAAAAAGGGGCAAAAATTATCTTAAAAAATAGTACAGTGTTGATGAATATAAAAATTTTATATGAATGGCTCTACTATTAAGGCCAAAAAAATCAACGGCAAGGCAACGATCTTCGTGTTTTTGGAAAGTGAATAGCTAGGTTACTGTTAAATGGATGGATATGGGGCAACAGGGACGCATACGCGAGAACGTACAATGGCAATGATGGGGAAGAGCAAGAGGAGGAACAGGAAAGGACGAACGAGTAAACGTAGGGGAAGACAAGGACAAGTTGGGAATGACTTCGGTGATATGCAACTACCTGCTAAGTTTTAGTTTTATTGGTTTGTACACCGTAGACTGAAGCAGGACCCGAGGCCACTGCAGCATGAGTACAGTAGAGCCTCGGGTGGCGAGCAACCCCGTCCACGACATTTCAGGTAACGAGCAACATACAATCTGTGACAGGAACTATAGAGGGGTGCTTGGAAGGCCAACACGTACAGTAACCGCTTACTTACAAAATTTAAGTAGAGGTGAATTTCCACAGTCTTCCAATTCTTCGCGCGCCTGCCGTTGGTCCAG